TTAAAAACTTCTTTAAAAATCCAAATTCTGCCTAGAGAAGCTTAGCAGTGTTTGGCCTTGTGGTGGTAATGTGATGGAAGTGACTTTGTTTAGGGTTATCTTTAGTCTGCTGAATTGGAAAAACAAATGAAACAATCTTTTCCTTTGGATGATGTTAGGGGCTACTTGAAATCATTTCCTAATTAGAGATTCAAAACAGTAGCTCTCTGGGGATTCGGATCTTACGCTTGGACCTAAAGTGCCCTGGAGTTTAAAGGGCAAGGATGGTGATGAGCATCTCGTGCTCTGTGAACTGAAGAATGTCTAAAGGTTCACATGAGGGCTATGTGCAAACAGCCCTGTACGAGCACGCCCTGTACGAGCACGCCCTGTACGAGCACGCCTAATGAGGAATCATATTTTAAAGTATAGTCATGAAATGGTTACTTCGTCTTGGAAGTCTGAAATTTGTTGTGTTCCTATAGGAAGAATGCACATGTATAGATGTATTCCTTGTCATTCCATTGATCATACATCTGTGTTAATAGGCACTTGTGATACATTGATAATGAAAGGATGACTAATGTCTCTAATGATGACTTGAGGCATGACAAAATTCTTAAATGTTTTTTGAATCTTCAAAGAGAATAAATTATATTTCTCGTGATCCAAATTTATTTTTCGCATATTCGAATTCTGTGGAGAGTAGTAATCTGTGTGTAGTGTGATATGTATATTCAGCACGGTACATGCAAAAGCAGGGGCTTTAGAATCAAACAACTTGATTTACATCACAGCTCTTCACTTGCTAATCCAGCACTTTCTGAAGAATTATGTAACATCACTCACCGTTGGTCTTTGCATCTGAAAAATGGACGTAACAATACTTACCTTGCAGGACGTTGTGAGGACTAAATGATATAAAGTACGTTGGGCTGTGCTTGCCACATATAGTGTTTAAAAATGTTTAATTCCTCTCTCTCTGGTCCAACATGTTAATCAAAACACCCCTTTTGCTGACTGCATCAGATAAAGAATTTACTATGGGTCTAAACAGATTTAGGGTCATGGGAAAAAGATGATAATAAGAAGAGTGTGCCCCTTGTAGGTGGGGCTGCCTTTTACTTAGGCTTGTTTTCAGGGTGCTGGCTGCTGTGGCTTTAATTTGCAGGCGTATTTTCTTTAGGATAATGAATTTTTATTTAAATTTGGTGAATTTCCTTTGAGCTCCTTTTAAGTCATCTGAAGACAGGAAACACTTTTTCATGCTTTTAGAGTTTTTCTGATTGACTTTGTTCTCCAAAAAGGGCTGATTTTAATATTCTAGGTGATAAAAAGTGCCTTTGACACGATTGAAGCAATTTAATTAGTAAATCCAGAAATTATAAAGGATTGGAAATCACACCCTCCATGCTTTTAATAAAACAGAGTAGTGAAACTTCTCATAGGTGCGTACCATGTGTTGGAAGAAATCTGCATGACATATATTAAGAGAAATGAAGAAATTGAGAGAACTTTGCAAGAGACCTACTAAGGGAATTACATGACTAGGCAATTATGTGGTCAGTATACCTCACGCATCAAAACTTCTGTGGCCATCATAATTTACATAAAGTGCATGGTAAGCATTTAAAATGCAAAATAATTAAAACCACTCATGGAGTTTCAACATATTAAGTGGGAAAAAGGGGCTAGCATAACTGTGAGGAAGTCTAATGTTTGAATTAGTTGACCTCAGAATATCTTAATGCTGGAGTAAGTAATACACAAAGGATCATTTAACGTTGTAGCTAATAGGATTTTTAGTGTCAGGCTGTCCGTCTCATGATGATAGGGTGTGAATGATTTCTAGTCAGTTTTCTGTGAGTACTCTCCTATAGTATGTCATCACTAAACAGGGAACATTGCTATAACTGCTAGGCATAAACATAATAACATGTTCAACTGTAAAACTATCTACAGTATATAAATACTGATGCTGTGCTCAAAAGCACCATCATTTTTTATTGCCTTGGTAATGGAGTGTTCCAGAGAGACATGTATATGGATGATTAGTGATTGGTGGATTTTGCTCTGGTATCTTCAAATGTTTCAGAGCAACCTTGATAGTAGCAGTTGGAGGAATCAAAGAGAGCTGATTCTTCTTGAGAAAGCAAATGTTAGGGTCAAACTCTGATAATGCTGCATCCTAAATCATAGGTAATGATGAGGACTATCAACAAGTACACTTCAAATATGGTTGATAAAAAAGCATACCACTATGAATAACACTAATAATATTAGGACATTATTGTGGAAATTATAATGTAATTTTAATTCATACAAGCAGTTTACAAATAATGGGGGTAATTGGGTAATCTGCATCTTTTTCGATGTTACTTTAATAATACTTTAGGATGATAGTGAACTGTAGTTGATAATAACATTTTTGAAATGTAAGTATAGTCAATGACTGAGTAAGATTGAGACACTTGACAATTCGGCTTTGTTTTCACATTTAGAACAACCAGTTGGAGAGCTAAAAATGTTTAAGTAGAGGAGATTAGGCATCTGCATAGGGTTGAGAATCAGAAGAAAATCAGACTGATGAGGATAAGACACATTAGGTGTTGACCCAATTCTCATCCACTGTGATATTCCCATGCTTCTTCTTTTGCTCTGAACCAACTTTGCAAAATGTATTTGAGGATGGAGAACCTTCCAGAGAAAGTCTGAAATGGGTGGATCAGTTCTAAGAGTTGAGCAAGGCTTACGAGTCACAATTGAATTCACTACAACGTGGTGAGATCAAGTCGACCTGTAGGACGTGGCTGCTGTGTCATCTTTTGTCCTCTGTTGTTGTATACTAGTAAGAGCTGGTGCATGATTGGCTCATTTGAAGGGTCATTTTTGGTGTCATCTGAGTGGAAAATTCCTTTGGATCTTTATTTCTGTTCAGAGATGTCACATTCTCTATCCAACATCTCATAACACGTATGGAAATTATGATCCCATAGAAATTATTACTAATATTAGAAGAAGCTGGCTTTTGACCTATTACTAATGTTTCAAGCTTTGGAACTTTTTTGGTATATGCTGAAAATCTCAGTTGTAGTCAAGATGTATATGCCAACTATTTTGATTGTTTTTTGTAGGTAGTTGTTTTCCAATATTGGCAAAATAAAATGCATTTTTTCCTCCAAACTTCAAAAAGTACATTGATGTTTGGGCAGTGTAGCTAATAACGTAGAGGTCTTTCAAACATCTGAGTATAAGGCTACTGCAAAAGCTGCCTCTAAATCACTGTACAATCTTTTGGTAACTCACCTTGAGAATAAAGGCTTACAGTCTGTGCATTTGACTATTCGGATCTGTGCTGTGGAAATTCAATTCTCTTTAACGTGTAGCTATACTTCCATTAATAAAGATTTGGGATGGCACATATGGTTTGCCTAGAGCTGGTTGTTTCATTATTTTTTTTTAAGTTTGCAATGAGCCCTAAAGCCCTAATTTGCTTCAGTTGCTGTAAATTGGTTTCCAGTAATTTTCACATCTTCAACTTGCATTCACATCTGTAAATATAAGGGTGTGCACTAAATCCTTTGTTATATGTGTGGGAGCCGGTGTTCTGCTAGGACTAAAGTCTGTGTCAAAGACATCTCTAGGCATATTTCTCCTGGCATTATGCGACAAAAATCAAGAAGATCCAAGTAGGAATAAACATTGTTTGATTGGAAAGAGATCAGTTTCAGAGAAATAATTAGACTCTATCTTACACACTACAATGCGATTATGAAACATAGGATGTTCCACGAAATATCTTTATGTTATTTTCCAGAGACCTGAGGGTATAAAGTGACAGGTAAGAGGGGAACCGCTTTGTGAGAACTCAGGGACAGAGTTTAGTCTCAGCAAAGCTGTGAAGTCAGGTAGTATTTATTTTTGGCACCCTCTTACTTCTTCTTTTAGTGCCCCATTTCTCTTTCAAAGTGTTCTCTTCTTTGCTCTCAGCTACAGTCAGTTAAGGTTCACTAAGATTAGCTGAGAATAGTTTATATTGACTTTTTGGAGGAGTATTTTCAATTTAGTATTTGACAAAAAAATCTTCAAAGTAGAAAAAAGAATGAATGTATAATGGTGGAATTTCAAACTCCATGTTTTACACTTAGGTAGAGGGGGAGATAACTGTCAGATGAAATCACTCTGATTGTTACCTGCTTCAGATAAGCCCTGCTTGGGAAAAACTCCCCATGGGGAGCCCGGCACAGGTGCTTCAGCGTAAGCATGGCCACAGAGGGAACTGAAGAGTTGGTTTCTTCTGTGCTGATCGTGGTGGGTGTTAAGTGGGATGGTTAGGTAGTTTATCAAGCGATTTAAGAAAGCTTGGCCGACTCGGCTGACTGGAGATAATCCTAAGGGCTGTTTTAGACCGAGAGCCTCTGAGGAGTCCGCTGAGCTTGTTTGGGCCCGTGTCACAGCTTGACTTCTCCCTCTGCCCAGTCTTGCTCTCAACTGCTCCCTTCCACAGGTGTGGGTCCCTAGAGCTCTCCTCAAGAAACATCCCCCACGCTCAACTCTGTCTTAGAATCTACTTCCTGGAGAACTAAACTACTGTGGACAAGAAACTGATCTGCCTACTCAGAAATCCTGTTAGGTTTTCCCAAAGTTGGTGGCGGTGGCCGACAACGGGAGCACTCAGCATGGGGCTAGGGAGGCGGGCAGGGCAGACTTCTAGCAGCTGAGACAGAGGCCTCAGGAGAAAGAAGAGGGGAAGGGATGTAGTCCATTTAGAAAACCAATGTACGTGCTCAGGGACCAGACAGCCTGGGTTCAGAAACTAGCTCTGTCACTTACTAGCCTTGTTACCGGGCAAATTAACCTCTCAAGCACCTCACTTTCCTCATTAGTGCACTGGAGATAATAATAATGACGACGTGAGACCTAAATGAGGTAATACATATACATACTTATAATGGCTTCTGGTACACAGCAAGTGCTAAATAAAAGTCTGTCAATATTCAATATTGTTATTTCTCCATAAGGGTCTACACTACGAAGAGTTCCACAGAAGGAGAGCTAATCCTAGGGGGTAAGTGAGGTCCCTGAGCCTTTTTTCTTGCTTCTCCAAATAGATTACTTTACAAATGTTACGGTTGTTATTTAAATCAGTAAAATTTTTTGACTGGCCCGGTGGCGTAGTGGTTAAGTTCGATGCATTTCGCTTCAGCCGCCTGGGTTTGTGGGTGTGGATTCCAGGCGCTGACTTACACCACTCATCAACCACACTGTGGGTGCAAACCACATACAGAGTAGAGGGAGACTGGCAACAGATGTTAGCTTAGGGTGAATCTTCCCCAGGAAAAAAAAACTTTCAAAAACTATAAATAAATAATTGAATCAGTAAAATTTTAAAACACCTCATGAGGATACAGTGTTGATAAACTTGATGCTTTCCTCAAATGCTACCTTTCAGTTATTGATGGTGTTTTTACGTTGAGTTAACCAATAGCCTCTGCTAGAAAAAAAAAATCAGTTAATGAAAATAATATGTTTTACTCTTGGTTCACTTAGGCTCATTTCAAAGGATTTGGGACACTCATAAATATACCTTGTTCTGTTTTTTTAAGTTAAAGTCTATGCTTTAATCAGGTTTTCTTGGTTTTTACCTTTTTGTTTTCTAGGATCCCATCTAGGATACCACATTACTTTTAGTCATTATGTCTCCTCAGGCTCTTCTTGGCTGTGACAGTTTCTCAGACTTTTCTTGTTTTTCATGACCTCGACTGTTTTGAGGTGTGCTGGTCAAGTATTATTGTAGAATGTCCCACAATTGAGATTTGTCTCATGTTTTTCTCATGATTAGATGGGTTGTGGGTTTTTGGGAAGAAGACAACAGAGGTGAAGTACCATTCTCAGCACATCGTCTCATCGTCTCTCAGAGCATCATCTCCAGGGTGCACTCTATCAATATCGCTTATTGTTATAGATGTTGGCTTTGATCACCTGCCAGAGATAGTAGATTTCTCCACCGCCAAGTTACTCTTCTGCCCACTCTCCATACTGTCCTCTTCGGAAGGAAGTCACTGTGTGTAGCCCACACTTAAGTGAAAAGTGATGCTTCATCTCCTTGTGGACAGAATATCTACATAAATTATTGGGAATTCTTCTGCATGGAGATTTGTCTCTTCTCCCCCGTTTATTTATTTATGCAATCATTTATTTGTATCAGTATGGACTCATGGATATCTATTTTATATTTCGGATTATAATCTAATGCTACTTTATTTACTTTGTTGCTCAAATTTATTTTGATTTTTGATTTTAAGACAAAGATGTTTAAGTGGAAGCCAGATAATTTATTTTCTCTGTGGCTTGTGGATCTTAAAGAACACACGGAGGCAAGGGGGTGCGTGTCGGCAAGTTCTCATTTTATCTCTAGACAGCTAGCGTATTTAAATAAGATGACTTCTTTTAATTAGTAATATGTCTTACTGAATTAGAAGGGTTTTTTTTCTCTTCTACAGCTCCAAGGTTTTGCCTATTTGATTCGAATTATGTTTGAAAGTAGCTTTCTTGGTGCGCGGACATTTTTATTGTTTGGAAGAATTAGGTAGCTTAGGCCTTAGTAAATATTAGGGCAATGATTACGAAGTGGGATGATTGAGTCGGTTATCACCCAGGGATGACTTAAGATTAAGTGTTAAGAGGGATGCTTGTGAATTTGATTATGCTTGGTACAATTAAGAGGTTTGGACTGCTACTTTAGAAAGCGTATTATGAATACTTAATTCTGGTTACAGCCGTGCAACAATTGTGACACGCTCTGTGTGTTTGAACACTTTTGTATTGACAATGCAGAGAATATGCATGTTTATAAATGACCCATGTGGACACATTGCCCCTTATCAATATCAATTTTTGCTGCACATCCATAACATTTTTGGAGTACCTTTCAATGCGGTTTTTCTTAAAATGATTTGAACATAGCAGACATAGATTCATGCATATTTAAAATTAAAAGACATATTCATGTACATTTAAAATCACATATGAATGTTTGCTTCTATGAGGAGACGAAGCAAAAGTCAGTTTTAGTTCTTTAGATAAACACAGCACACTGGCATTATTTGGAAATTTTCATAGTTCTGAGTAGTCAACTTCTTCTGATTTTGGAGATATTGAATTACAGGATTTCAGTGCCCCAAACATTAATTATAATAACAAGTATAAGAACACTTACTTTCTTTGAGTGTCTAAGATGTGCTAGGCACTGCTGAGATACTTTGCAAATAAAATCTCTAATGATAATCCAGCATGATTGGCACTACTGTTACTCCCATCTTACACCTGAAGACGTTTGCCACTTCAGTATCTTCAGAGAGAGAGTGCCATGGCCTTGTGTCTTTTCTTTAAACACACCAAACTTGTTTCAACTTGCAGCAACTATGCTGTTCCCTTTGTTTTGAAGAATTTGCCCCGTCCCAGCGTTTGCATGACTGGTCCTTGTGCCATTCAGATCTCAACTGGGGCATCGTCTGCTCCTTGCAGTGTTCTCTAACCGCCTAACATGTTATTCCATTCCAACCCACTCTTTACAGTCTTAACATTATCTGAAATTTTCTTGTTCCTTTATTTGATTATTTTCTTCTCCCCACATAGAGAATTTAACCTTCACATGATAGTCACCACCACTGTATCTGCAGCCCAGAGTAGCTGTACAGTACATATTTGTTGACTGAATTAATACATAAATTCTATAGAGCTAGTGAAGGATAGAGCTGGGATTTGAATCCAAGTCTGTTTGGCTTCCAGGTCTCTGGGCTTTCCACACTATTGCTTTGTTTTCCAGCTGGGTTTAGTGGTTAATATCTGAATAAATATCAAATATCCAGTCTTGATCCATGATAGTAGATCAAAAACATATTTAAGTTTTGACAAATAATTAATTCTACCAGAAATAAAGGAGGTCATTGCTTCAAAGTTTTCATAATATTATGCTTCTCTTTGCTAGTGAAGAAGTGACCCTTGGTAACAGTCAGTTGTCATGATAATGCTAAATATTTGTCACATTTTTATAAACTTACCATATACTTCACAGACTCTGAGCACTGCAAAAAGTGATTCTTTGTTAGATTAATTTGAGTTGTTATGGATATATAAAAGTAAAAAAACACTGAACTTTGTATTTTTAAAAAAGTCTTTCACAATCCAGAGTTTTCACAAATTCTGGTTATCCTCCTCAACAGTTAGAAGGAATTAATGAGGTTTCACTGAATTTCTAAACTCTTTTTCTCACCAACAGATGTGTACAAATGTCTCTTTTGGGGGAATGTAAACTATGATGGTTTCAGGAAACTAGGCCATGGTTGAGACGTTTGAAGGAAAACAAAGTGTCAAAGAACAGCTGACTGCATAACTAAGAAATCAATCATTGCCCGGGCTGCTTTATTGGCATAATTGGCAATGATTTATAGAATGATGGCAGGAGTCCAGCTGGGCATGTGTATTCTTAATACCGTTATAGCACCCTGGCATGGAGTCTTAGTTAAGACGACACAATTGCACTGAGGAGGAAGTTTGGGCGATATCTATTTAACTTAGCTAATAACCACCAACAAAATGTTTCCCATGAATTTCTTTTAATTAATGGTTCACACCGTTTCTCACCATTGGTGAGATATTTTAATGGGATTCTGAAGCAAAATTGTGCTTAAAGCAAATAAATCAGAAAATAGCCCTCAAGTGCTTGTATAATGTCTAGTGTTTTGCATGTACCTGGTGTGATACTGCTTTATTAATCAATATTGTCGTACAAAAAAAGTTGTGTACAGAAAATACTCATGTCTGTTGAGTCCTGAGGACACAGGAAGGGCTTTGAAGCAGTGAACGTGCAATTGGCCTACTGATAGATTTGGTTCATTTAAAAGGAGTAATGTAAAGTTTATCTACTGTGCTGCATCTTGTAACTTACTTGTTAAATTTATTCAGGAAAGATGGCTTTAGTGATTTTTCTGGAAACTAACTAGTGGGTTGTGAGAGATAATTAACAAAACTTCCTGTTTCTTCTCTTGGAACAGATGGATATTTTTGAAATGCAGCAGAACACAGAGCTCAGTTTGAGGGCATGCATAGTTGAGTTGCTTCTATTTGTATAATGAGGTGCTACTTGCTCATATTCCAGAGGTCTCCAGCCTTTTATCTGCAGTCATACAACTGGTTTCCACGGAACTAAGCAGCTAAAGGCAGCAGCCAATTGGCTTCAGAACCAGACTTTTAAGGACACTACCCCAAACAGCTTTTTTCCCCCTATTGTTGTTTTCTACCTGATAAAACACATCTCGTCTCTCTTATTATGTTAGCTTTGTGGGTGCCAGCATTTGAAAATGGCCTAGCTCTCTGGGTGGAACTTACTGAAAGGGCAGATATGAAGCACAGATTCATTGCTAAAGTGTCAGAGTCTGGAATCTAGAATGAGTAAAATAGCTAAAAGATGGAGTAAAATAGCTCAAATCGAATATTCAGATGAGATCTCTTCCCTGTGACAAGTCAAGGTTTTGGCAAATGTGGGCGATGATAGCAGAAAGCAGGGCACTTTAATGGGCCTCCATGTTTCTGAAATATTTCTTATACTCAGATGGCCAATGTAGGTGTAGATCATATTGATAACTCTTGGAAGTATGTTGCCTGTTTATATATTTGCTTTTCATGAGAGGAGAATTTTTCATGAAGCTAATAAAGCTTCGCCCTTTATTTTTCAGGATCCATTCCATGTTCTTCCAAGGAGCAAAGCTAAGAATCTATATGTACAATTTTGTATTCTATTTTCTTAAAGAATTCTCTCCCTCCCCCAAATGAATAACGTCCATGTCCACACAACCTGGATCTACTCCTGTTCACAAGAAAGAAGTAGAACGGGCTTTTTGGTTTCCAGAAGATAAATGATGTCTAGATAGTTTCCGTGGGAGAAGGTATATGGCATGACCTAAACCACTGTCTTTAACTTAACTTGATTGCTTAAATGAGAAGCCCGCAGAAGAAGATGGAGAAATGCAGAAAGAACCATGGGATTACTATGAGATTTGGTGCCTG